AGGGCGACGATACCAGGTTTTTTTAATTGTTTTTTAAAAATAGTAGTGACGGACAGCTATACTCTGTTTTAATTAATGTTTCTTAAAAACAATATTATAGCTACGCGGTTATACTTATTTTGACACGTAGGATACTAATTGCTGTGCGGGTCCTCTTTTGTGTTTTTATAAATAGTGTAGCCGTGCGGCTATACTAGATATTTATTTTATTTTATAAAATAATATCGCCAAGTGGCTTTACTGGGTTTTTTTGTTTTAATTTTTTTAAGGCTTAAATGTTCAAATAGTCCATGTGTTTTACTCAATTGGTAAATTTAATCCCTATATTTTGAATTTGGCCAATTTAATTTCTATCTTTTCCTTTGTTAACCAATGTTGTACATATCATTAAATTTCCATAAAAAATTTCATTTAAATGTTTAAAAATTATTAAGTCCTATTTACAAAGAAAACAAATATGAATTAAATTAACATTTTTTGTATATAAAAAAATATGGAAACCGGACAGCCTCTATATCATTCTCTCATGCCACCACCACCGCCCTATTCTCTCTCTCTCTCTCTCTCTCTCTCTCTCTCATAGAGCTGCCGAATCCCAACATGGCAACCAAGTTCTTCAGTTTCTTTTTGCTGATTCTTTTGCTCTGCTCCACATTCATTGCAGTAAAGCGCCCGATCTTTCAATATCATGAGTACAACAATTGGAGGTTTCCTTGATGGGTTATCTCTTGGAGAAGCCATCAAAGAATCGGGCCCTAGCCCAAGTGAGGGGCACAAATATACGAACCAACAAACCCTTGGAGGGATAAAGAAATCTGGCCCCAGCCCTCCCTTCCCTCTCTGATCCATCCCACCCACCCACCCCATAACTGTGAAATAAAGATTCAACATCGATATTGGCAGGCAACTGATGGTTGTGGTGTTGGATTGGGTGGCGGAAGCAGCATGAGAGAAAGATACAACCCACACCAGCAAGAAATTCTGGAAACCCAACACGGCTATACTCGAATTTTTTTTTAACCAATACTCGTTGTTTTTTAATTTTTTTAATAGTACAGCCGGGCGGCGAGACTCGGTTTTGCTAACTGTTTTTAAAAATCGTATAGCCGAATGGCTATACTATGTTTTTCCTAATTTAAAAAAAATAGTATAGCCGAGCGGCCTTACTGTTTGACACGTGGCGCCTAGGCGATGTGAGGTCTTTAAAAAAATATATAGTATAGCCGGCCGGCTATACTCTGTACTAATTTTTTATGAAAATAGTAGAGCCGCACGGCTATACCGATTTTGACACGTTATTTTATAAATAGTATAGCCGTTCGGCGATATGCGATTTTTTATTTTAAAAAATAGTGTAGCTGCTCGGCTATACTATTTTATTAAAATAAAAATGGGCTATACTCTATAGATGTATTCGTTCAGCAAAAGATTTTAAATTAACTTCTCTTCATATCATGCGAGCAAAAATGTACCATATTAGAACTCTTTCAATGAATTTAATTCTATTCAAGCAAGATTTCGTCGAGATAGTTCAAATCTGGCAATGTCTTGCCGACATAGACCTTTGTGGGTGAAATTTCGTCAAGATAGGTTATATTTTTTTAAAAATAATATAAAATTAGTTTCTTTCAATTTTTGTTGGCCAACTTCTTTAGTTTAATATATGAAATTAAGTAATATCTTAGCCTTCTTTAGTCCACAAAATAATTTAAAATAATTAATTACTACTTGTAAACTAATTTATGAAATTAATTAAAATATTTAAATACTAATGATTTAAATACCAGAATGGTGAAACATTCAAAATACCAGAAAATACCTTTTGTTAATTCAAAAATTAAGAATTGAAATTATTAATTAAATGAGGATAATATGATAAATTCACATTTTTTATCTTTAAAAAATTAAAATTTTAAAAAAATCAAATAATATATCCTATTTTTATAGAACACAACTACCCATTATCTTTTAAAATTTTAAAATAAATTTAATTTTTTTTTTAAAAAAAGCCTCTTGCATGCATGGAAGTGCATTCGAAGAGACTAGTTATTCATTAAATAACACGTATTTCAATTGTTGTTTGATATTACACGTTATGATTAACATCTCATTTTTGTCTTTTTTTTTTTTAAGTACAAGATTTTACATTAACTTATCTTCAGATCACGCGGCTATACTCTGTAAATATATTCAAATATTTTAAAAATAATATCTCAGTCTTTTTTAATTACTTTAATTAGCAATTTTGCTTTAATTATTATTCCTTTATTGAATAATTAATAATTTATTAATTTATTAATTTCATCAATTACTTAATAAATATTAATTAATTATTTTAAATTATTTTGGTTACTTTGTTTTTTATTTGTTATACAACATTGTTTATTTAGATTAATATTTTGCAATTATGTAATATCTTAGACTTTTAAAATTATATTAAATATTATTTATGTTTTAATTATTATTATTTAATGAATAATTATTATTTAAATATTTTAATTAATTTAATAAATTACTTAATAAATACTAATTAATTATATTTAGTTATCTTAAACATTTTTGTGGACTTTAAAATTATTTTTAATATCCGAATATATTTTTTAAATAGTTTCAATTATTAGAAAATTATTGTAGTATTCCAAAAATGGTTTTAAAATAGTGCCCTAGAGTAGGTTTATAGTTAGAGTTCGACTCTTGAGAATGGTTTTGGAACAAGTTGATAAGCTAGGGTTTTTAGTTTGAGACTCGGATTTAATGTTTAGAATCTAAAATTCATTTTAGGGATACTAAAATAATTTTCTATGATTTTTAGATAAATGAAACTATTTTCTAAAATGATATCGGAAATTAAAAATAATTTTAAAGTCCACAAGTTGGAGGGGGGAAATGTTATTAACTACTTGAGGTACAAGCTCGTTGTTGTTTAAAAAAAAAAAAGTACAATAGTTCGGATGGAGATAAAATAACATTCTTGACATTCGTTTGGATGAAGCAAAATAACTGGGGATTTAGTTAAAAGTTAGGAATTGAAGAGGAAAAATTGATATTTCCATTGGTTAGCAACTTAAGTAGGGAAATTATTAAATGACGTGAGGAAAAAATCATGGAAATTGGGGATCACAATTGTTGAGTTTAATTTCCGCAAAAAATGCCCCATTTCGCAATTTCTATTGAGCATATGAATTTGTTTTTCCTGTAATTTCTGTTATTTACAAAATTTGACATACATATAAATTTAAATACTGGAATTGTTAATTTTCAGAAATTTAAATGTTGGAGATCTAAATTCTGTGATTTAAGAATTCTATGCAATTTTCATCTCCTTCATCCAAGGTTGTAGGTTCGGTTTCCCTCACTCAATATCAATTGTTTTAAAAAAAATGGTGTCCTTCGGCCCTAAAATATTGTTAATGCAGGCGAAATTAGTTTCAAAATAAAACTCTCAATTGAAAGACCGGCCCAATATTGACCATAAAAAAAAGAAAGACCGGCCCAACCAAATAAAACTTTAGACTTTCAATTGCACGTGGCGTTGTATCAGTACTGGTTCTATACTTTTTCGAATAGAACCGGCCGCACCCAACTAGTGAGCTTTCTGAAACTCATTAGGGTTCTCTACTCTACTCTCACACCCAAAATTTCTCCTCTCTCTCGCCGCTCAGGCCGCCGCACGCATCCGCCTCATTTCTTCTAGTCTCTATCATAATCTCAGCGTCCTCGAATCTCTCTCTAATCTCAGCCTCATCGCTTCCCTCTATCTCATCCGATCATTGGCGTCAGCTCCTTCAAATCTTGGGGCTGCGGCGTTGTCAATTTCCAGTACTTCATCCAACTACATTCGGTATGTGCTTGCCAATTTTATCTAATTTTAGGGTTTGTTCTGTGAATTTTAACTTAGGGTTTTTTAGAAAATTATTTTGGGGGCTTCGGTTTTAATTAGGGAGTTTATGTATTCTAAGTTAAATTCAAAGGATTCATAGCCTAATTTAGGGTTTAGCTATATTAAAAAATGAATTAGACTTTAGTTTGAAATTCAATTGGGATTTCGGTTTGAATTAGGGTTTTGAGAAAATTGAATTGGGGCTTAGCTGATTAATTGGGGTTTAAATTCGATCTGGGGTTCAGTGATTCTTTGGAGTGAAAAATTCAATTAGGGTTACGCTGCTGCTACTTCTGTTTGTTTTCAATTGGGAATTATTATTGGCAATTGGTTTGTGTTGAGTGTTCATGAGTGGTATGATGATTTACTATTTACTGATTATATGTAACTTAGTAATGTCTGCATATTTGTAATTGGGGGTTTATATGTAGACAAAGAAAGAGAGCAGATGTCTCTAATCTCTTGTTATATGTAATTGGATGGTTTACTGATTACATGTACTATTACCTAATATAGACAAAGTAAGAGAGCAGATGTCTCTTATCTCTTGTATTGTCAGTGTGCATTTGATCTTTTGCTTAATTTGATCGGTCGATTTACTGTGGATAGAAGAAGATTAGGAGATGGCAGATCGGTTAACCCGTATAGCAATAGTGAGCTCCGACAGATGCAAGCCTAAGAAGTGCCGCCAGGAATGCAAGAAGAGCTGTCCTGTCGTCAAGACTGGTATATTATAATTCCCTTTCTTTCTTATATTATTTCTTGTATTTTATATGTAATATATGTATATATGTGTGTGTGTGTGCCTGTTTCTATTCATAAACAAGATAAAATCAGGATTAATTGAATTGCTCGAGATAATGGTTCTTTTGTTTTCGCAAAAACAAGCATATCTTTTCTTGTTGCTTGAGATATGATATTGCTATTATGTATATGTGATGCACAAATCCTGGTTACTTGGATTCCTCAGCTGGTTGTTTATCATGTGAACTGTTATTTATCCCCAAACATAGTATTCCTTTTCAAATCATTATGAAAGCTAATTGTGATGGGAGTATGTCTTGATGATCATGTTAAGTAAATATAAGGAAATAAAGGAAATAGAATGCCTCCTGCAAGGAGAAATACCCAGAAACTTTATTAAGCTCGAAGCTAGCTATTCAAAGGGATTACATCGTATATAAAACCAAACAAAGATTCTAAGAAAGGTTACTCAAAATACAGACATGAGCTCCTGCATATGGTGAGGCGGCTCCACACACACACACACACACACAGATAGATAGATATATATATATATATATATATATAATATTTCTGTGTTGACGAGTTCTTGTCATGCATTATTGTAGCGCTATGTTTACTTCTATATAAATGAGCTGCTTTTTGAATTATCTTGTCTTGACTCAGACTTGATTTAAATGGTTGACCTTTATACAAATATACGATCTTATCTGATTAATCTGCAGGGAAACTATGTATCGAGGTTACCCCTGCATCCAAGATTGCTTTTATCTCAGAAGAATTGTGCATTGGGTGTGGTATCTGTGTTAAGGTCTGTAGAAAGTGTTATTACTGTCATTTTTCTTGTTCTATACACTAGTCATGTTTTAAAGGCATTCTTTGGACTCTATACCATCTGATGATGCAGAAATGCCCATTTGAAGCAATCCAAATTATCAACTTGCCAAAGGATTTAGACAAAGATACAACACATCGTTATGGGCCTAACACTTTCAAACTACACAGGTTAGTTCCTTGTCACATTATATGGAAGTGATCACTTAAGCATTTGTGTGGTTTGGGATAACAGAAATTTACAATTTCAGGTTACCAGTCCCAAGGCCAGGGCAAGTACTTGGTTTGGTTGGAACTAATGGCATTGGGAAGTCAACTGCCCTAAAAGTTTTGGCTGGAAAGTTGAAACCAAATTTAGGTCGTTTCAATGTAATACATCTTACAAAACTTCCCCCTTCTTTGATAAGTATGTCATTTTTTTTCAAGTTGGTTTTGGTGCATTCTTTGATTATGTTATGTTTCTCTTTTTTGGGCAGAATCCTCCAGATTGGCAGGAAATTTTGACCTACTTTCGAGGATCTGAGTTGCAGAATTATTTTACCCGTATCCTGGAAGACAATTTGAAGGTACCTTTTGATTTGATGTTCATAATGTTTCATATGGAATTGGAAATGAGTTTAGCTTTTTAGACAAACGTTTTGGACATTTAATGCATGTTTTTCTTAGATAGTTATGTTTATTTATCTTCTTTTTATTGGGCTTTCTATTTGGTTTGTGTTTTAGTTGTCTGTAAAGATCATTTTGGGTTGTCTCTGACTCTGGTTAATCGGGTTGAAGACCCAGATACCTCGAGTTGTTGAAAGAAAAAGTTAAAACATATTTATTTTAGAACTACGACTTTGAATTTCATTATGTATGAACTCAGTGGCCTACTTTATAGTACTACAGAGCTAAGTTGTGGTGAAATCTCCTAGTGCTTGCTATTCAAGATAGTTCATAGGCTGCTTCCAGTACTGGGTGGGTGATCTTATTGCCATTAATGGGATGGTCAAGATATAGTTGAACGTAAACAATTTGGTGAATGGAAATATTATTTGCATCTCATGATAATGAATTTAAGACAGAAATGCCTAGAAGTATGATACTTGAAAAAAATGCTTGATGCAGTATATGAACCATGTTCAGTGCCTCTTCTGGCCTAATAATTTCAGATTTTTTTTTATAAAAGGGTTTAGTCTAGACAAACAAAGTTGCATGCATTTCAATTTTTTGGCCATCATTGGTTGTGTCTAGCACTTATTTTGTTTTATGTAATATTTTTGTCTTCCTGTTAATTGCATTTTTGTAATTCTCTTTTCATTTAACAGGCCATTATAAAGCCCCAGTATGTTGATCACATTCCAAAAGCAGTTCAAGGAAATGTTGGGGAGGTGCTCAACCAGAAAGATGAAAGGGATATGAAGGAAGAACTGTGTGCTGATCTTGAGCTGAACCAGGTTATAGATCGTAATGTAGGGGATTTATCAGGTGGGGAGCTTCAAAGATTTGCCATTGCTGTCGTTGCCATACAGAATGCAGAGATATATATGTTTGACGAACCTTCAAGTTATCTTGATGTGAAACAGAGGCTTAAAGCAGCCCAAGTTGTCCGATCTTTGCTCAGGCCTAATAGGTCTATTTTTTTTAATATTTGACTTCCTTCAAATTTTCATTTGCACGTTTGTGTTGGATTTCTTGATTGTCTTCTTGCATCTTTAGCTAATAGTTATATATCCTTGTATTTTCAGCTATGTAATTGTTGTGGAGCATGATCTTAGTGTCTTGGATTACTTATCAGACTTCATTTGCTGTTTATACGGGAAACCGGGTGCATATGGAGTTGTAACTCTTCCTTTCTCAGTTAGAGAAGGAATTAACATCTTCTTGGCCGGATTTGTTCCTACAGAAAATCTTAGGTTCCGGGATGAATCTCTGACCTTTAAGGCAAGATTATAAATTTTGTCCATGAAATGCTCTTTTGACTTATCAGTACTTTGTGATTCACTTTTTTTTTTTCCTTTACTAGGTTGCTGAGACTCCACAGGAAAGTGCTGAGGAAATTGAGACATATGCACGATATAAATACCCATCTATGACTAAAACTCAGGGAAACTTTAGGCTTCGTGTTGTTGAGGGAGAATTTACGGATTCTCAAATTATTGTTATGCTGGGTGAGAATGGAACAGGGAAGACAACATTTATCCGTATGCTGGTATTCATTCCTTTGATATCTTTCTTTTTAAAAATTCAGTCATAATCACTTCGCAGCTTGAGACATTGAGTTAGCATACACTTGTCCAATTTGCAGGCTGGTCTATTGAAACCTGATATTGTAGAAGATTCCAATGTGGAGATACCTGAATTCAATGTTTCTTACAAACCCCAGAAAATCAGTCCAAAATTTCAATCCACTGTCAGACACTTGTTACATTCAAAAATTCGTGATTCATATACCCATCCCCAGTTCATGTCAGATGTGATGAAGCCTCTTCTTATTGAACAATTGATGGATCAAGAAGTTGTGAATCTCTCTGGTGGAGAGCTGCAAAGGGTTGCATTATGCTTATGCCTCGGGAAGGTAAATGCTTGGTTGAGCTTTTTCATGTTTCTCGGTTATGAATTTCAGAAGCCTGAAATTTTCAAGAAACATTATTTTTTGATTTCCTGTTGTAGAAAAATCAGTAGTGTAGGCTTTTCCTTATTTTCAGCCTTGCAAGTATAGTAGGAAGGGAGATGTTGGGTTATTGATGTGAATAAATAAAATGGGCCTTTGTTTCTTGGGATGGATCCCTTTCAACACTTTACAGTACCCACCTCTTTTATTTGATGCCTTGGATGCATCTGAGTAGGCTGGAATTGACTGTGTTTGGAAGTTGGGAATGGGTTAAGGGTGTTCTCTTTTCTTTTTTCTCTAATGTAAGTATTTGGGGATTGCCATTGTGCCCAACTAAAAGCAAGTATCTGCCATTTTGTTTGAGTTTTTCAGTCCTCGAACAATATCATGACCGCATGTTTGAGTTTTTCCATGCATCTGTTTTGGTCCCTGCATTTGGTTTCGGTTTTTCTTTTTTATCATTTGACGCCAGGAAGGCGATTACTTGTAGTTTTGTGTTGTTCTAACTGGTGAAAGTGCATGCGGATCAGCTTTAACTGATACATTTTATTTTTCTTAATGCAGCCTGCAGATATCTATCTTATAGATGAACCAAGTGCCTATCTTGATTCTGAGCAGCGTATTGTTGCTTCAAAAGTCATAAAGAGGTTTATCCTACATGCTAAGAAAACTGCATTCGTGGTTGAACATGACTTTATTATGGCTACCTACTTGGCAGATAGAGTTATTGTCTATGAGGGGAAGCCATCAATTGATTGTGTTGCAAATTCTCCACAGTCATTATTGACTGGGATGAATCTATTCTTATCTGTAAGTGTTGCAACTTCTTCTTTTCAGTCAATTATTTTGGCGTCCTACTATGAAGAGGGAGAGTAGTGTGTGATAATAGGAATATAATTTTGAAATTGGTCATTCTTTGTGCATAATCACAACTTCCTCCTGCTAACTGGTGTTATTTGTACCACCACTCTGAAAATGAGTCTTAAAAGGGATAAGCTGTTAGAAACCTAAATAGCATGTTATTGGAACTGCTCTCTCTCCACAAGTAATTTTCATTGATTTTTGGAATGCTGCATGCAGCATCTTGATATCACATTTCGACGTGACCCCACTAACTACCGCCCAAGAATCAACAAATTGGAGTCAACGAAGGATAGGGAACAAAAAGCTGCTGGATCCTATTATTACTTGGATGATTGATATAACCACGAAGGTATGCTTCATTCGTTACTCTGTTTATTCCATGTTTGTTTTGGCATCTTTGATATTTACCGGTGTTCTACTTTGCAGTTTTGGCCAAATTTAGAGGGCTTCAATGTGATCTAATAATGGAATCCCGGCTGAGTCATGACATGCTGACAAATGATGGGACGCCCTTTGTCTGTGAAGAGGTGATGTTTGTTTACCAGTGAGTTTCCGTGAATGAGAGTTTCCAGGCCCTTCCATATTGTTGCTAGTTGAGTACATTATGCCCTATGTGTGCTTGCACTTATCCCAATTTTGTTAAAATTTGTCTCTGGGCGACGGAATCTAAATGTACAATGGTCTCTCATAGTATCAATTTTTCTTTCTTTTTGATTAACTTTTGTGCTTCCAGGGTTTATGTAACTTTTGTCTCTGCCATTATGATTTTTAGTTTTCACACCAGAAATGCATGGGTGTTTTAACTCTGAATTAAAAAGAAGTTTGCTTCATATTTGCACATGACGGGTTTGATTGCTGGGCAGGATTTGATGAACCACCCTTTCTAACTGCACAGAGGAGGTACCACTCTCCTGCCATGTTTGTTTGGTGAAGTGCCAAACGAAAAATCTGAAAAGATGAGGATAATAGATATTTTATTGTCTTGTCTGGTGTGTGATTGAATTGGATTATGATTATATGGTTATACCTACGGTCCTTTGGATTTAGATATTTTACCACATGAATTATGATGATGCAAACTCGTTATGTTAGATTACGGCCCTTTGTTTGTACTGACTTGCGAGATTTTTATTTGTACCAAACCAACCAACAAGTATGTTGATTTCCCCATTTTAAGTTTTGTTTGTATTTTTTTATATATAAAAGTAATCTCCTAATTTCTCAAAATCCCCTAGTAATTTTTTAACAAATTTGGAATGGTCTGGTCTGGGTCAGGTCAAAAAAATTCCTTCCTATCGGAGAAGCGTTGTGTGAGTCCATCTAAAAGAGTCCGTGATCGCACTCTCCTCCTTGTAAAAGAGGCGTTGACAGAGCCGATGAGCATTTTCTTTGTAATAATCAGATTCTCTTGTCTTGTCCTCCGATTAATATCCTGTAGTCTGGATATGCGATATGTAACAACTAAGAAGATGGAGGAGGAGGAAGAGAGAGGGCTTCATCAACCATGCTCAAGTTTCTGTCCTTGAATAACAAATACCTCAATTATGTTTTTTTTATTATTGGTTCGGGGGAGAGGGTTTACACGAAGATTCTTGGATGCTTGGGGGTTTCAAACTTCTGCCCATAGAACTTGAGACCAAATAGTTAAACCAACTGAGCTATACCTTATTAGCGAACGCTAGCAATATTCTCTCTTCATTTTGTTTTTCTGCTGAACGCCAGCAATATTAATGTGCTCTTAGTTTGAAAGAAGTGAACAATGTACGTACTCATAGGTAGCTCCAACGATACTGGTACTTTTAATAATGTGTTAATTGTTTAATGTTTGTCGAGTTAGAGAGAGTTCGATTCCAATTTCCATACCATGATGGATTAATTGGATGATGCAGATGCAGATGCAGCCCTGACCTGAGTGAGTTGGAACTTGAGAACCGACATGGAGATGAGACACCGCTTCCTTCCACTCCTTATCTATCTTAAGGCAGTGGTTGGTTGGTTGGCCAAAACCATCTCACTTCCAACTTAACCAAAACCAACCACTCCCAAATTTTTCTACTAATTAATTAATTAATTGACATATATAGGGAATTACAAAATGAGGGTTTGCAATGTGAATGTGACTTATGATTGATGAGACTTAGAAATGAATCAATCTTTCCATGTGGTAGATAGATATATGCAAATTGCAATGCATGTGGGAATTGATAATCCATATAATATAAAGATATGTAGCATTATTTATTATCTTCATCATATGGCACTGGCACTGCTAGCCTTAGCCTTAGCCTGTATATATATAAAAGAGATAGATAGATAGATAGGAATCTTAATTGGTAAAGTAGGCAAGAGTAGAGGACGAGCTGCATGCGACACGAATGAAATGAATCAGCTTGCATTGATGATATTGACTAGTCTGGTGACACAGGGTTCTTTCTTTCTGAGGCCAGTAAGCTGGCTGGCAGGCACACACATGTCTATGATATCATGATTCTAGAGACACAGCAGCCAGCCTACTTTGCATTGCAATTTCCATGGTGTTTCAATGAATCAAAGAATTTAGATAATACAAGGATTATTGTTAATTTCAGGGTCCCTCTCCCTCATATGAGTCATATTCATATATTCATTCATGTTACATATGCATGACAGCGGGAAACATTGACGGTGGAATAAAAATTGGACACTTCCTATTCTTTCTCCGCTTGTCTCTTTGGCTTATGCACTTTTCCTTTTCGATTCCATCATCATTTTGCACACTTATTAACGGAAATATTCACCGCAGCTTTAGGGACAATATTTCCACTGCCCCTCTATCATCAATCATGATTCCTGCACTTTTCCTTTTTGATGCTTGCTTGGCTTGCTTCCCCGATTTTCTACCCATGCAGTAGAAAATTCTTGACATGTTTCTTCTTCTTTTTTCTTTTTCTTGAAAGACTTTCTGACTTTTCAGTGCAAAAGGAACTTGTTCACTCAAGAAAGAGAATAAACAAAGGCCCAAGAAAGCACAAGAGAATAGCTCCAATAACACACGCATCAGCAGCATACAATACAAGCACTTATCATCTCCACAACCACGACAAGCCGTCTAACCAAATCGCACTCGCACACAACATGTTACATGTTATTTTATCCTTCCCCTGCATCTTGTGGGCCACCCCACTCGCATCTCACACCACTCAATCAACCGTTCAATCCATGTGTACCTGCTCTGTGATTCGACCCAGTCAATCAAAAGGTCAACCCTCTTCCATTATGCCTCATATCAAACTCGTACATCAGACAAACACAGTAGCTATGCTTGCTAACCCGAAACAAAATAGAAAAATATTAATTTATTACCAAAAAAAGCAATAAAATAATGAAGTAGACCCACCACACTGGACGACCTCCCGCTTTGCCTTTGCTTATTATTAGTTATTTACCCACATCTCGAATCCATCTCTCCCCACTACACAAACAAAACCATCCCAAGCTTCAAATATTTATTTATTTTTATGAAAAGAGCAGCAGAGAGCTTCTTCTTCAATTCTATTATATCTCTGCTTTAGTTTCTGTTTGTGATCTGCTTTTTTATGGCTCTGCTTACTTTTGTACCTGAGGCCACGGAGCCCAAGAACAAGAAGAAAGCACCACCACCATCAAAACGCAGGCAAAAGCAGTCGTCGAGCTCTAAAAAGCAACAAAACCCACCATCCTCATCCTCATCCTCATGGGACCAGATCAAGAACCTGCTCACCTGTAAACAGATCGAAGGTTCAAGAGTTCATGACCCATCAAAGAATCATAACATCGCCAATGGTGGCGCAGGCGCAGCTGCTGCCGGGTACTCGAAACTGGGGTCTTCTTGCAGCTCCATTTGCAGCTTTAGAGATGTCGTTCATGGCAACACCAGGGTCGTTCACAGAGCCGACAACTCGCCTGAGAGTAGCTCGCTGGGTCAGGAAACTGGGTTACTGGGTCGGAAACATGTGACTCGGTCATCAACTCGGTCTTCCTCCTCTAGATCCAACGCTACTGGGACTGGCGCTGCTTATAATACTACGTCCTCCTCCTCCTCCTCCAGAGGAATGCAATTCAGGAAGCTCTCAGGTTGTTATGAGTGCCACATGATCGTTGACCCTAGCAGGTATACATTTTTAATTTAATTTATCTCCAACATATAATATGCTCGTTACATTTCAGGTACCCAATTTACATATCTAGAAATTAATATGGAGAAGTAAATTTATAAATGTTCAGGTACCCAATTCCGAGGTCTAGTGTTTGTGTTTGCTCTCAGTGCGGAGAGATCTTCCCCAAGATGGATAGTTTGGAACATCACCAAGCAATTCGCCATGCTGGTAACTACTGTATACTATATACATGCTAATTAATATATATGCTAATCTTTTTATTATTCATTTCATGATGCTGAATTTTCTTCATATTTCTTTTACTGTTTCATCATTACCAAATTTCTATTATACTATTGGACATTTTTGTTAATAGCCAAGGGCCGTTTAATTTTTAGTTTTTATTTTTTCGTGCTATAGTATAAAGGAAAAAGAGAGATAATGAAAGTGAGAATGAGAGGGAAGATGAGAGGAATGAGAAACAAAAGTGAAAACAAAAACTAAAAACTGAAATCCATTTGAAATTGTTTTCGCTTTTGTTACTCTTCCCTCTCATGATCTTATCCCCTCTCTCAATTTCATCCTCTCTCATTCTTACTCTCATTGTTCTCCATATTCTAACACAAAAAATAAAAAATAAAAAATAAAATTGAAATGATTTTCAAACGAGCTCTAAATCGTTTTCAATAGAGTTTATAGCTTAAAATCTTTTTATAGGTTTGAATACTTAGCTCCAACAATTTTGAAATAAAAACAATTGAAAGATTTGTAAAGTTAACATAAGGATTGATTGCACCTCATAAAGGCAGTCAACTTCATGAGTACAAACCTACAGCTGTCCATGCATGACCGAATAAATGACACTGATGTAAGGTGGCCTGTCTTATTAATTCGAGAAGAAAGACTGCCCCACTTTTCTGACGTTAAAACTCAACAATCCTGACGCTACCAATATTTTCATTCATTGGGTCTTTTACAAATTCTATAAATTAATTTTAATTAAACAAAGATTCCATTATAATTTATAAGAATATAAAGGTAGATTAAAAAGTAATAATATCTTAATTTTGTATTCGCTCAGTGTCGGAGCTCGGAGTTGAAGATTCCGGCCGAAACATTGTGGAGATAATATTCAAATCAAGCTGGCAGAAGAAAGACATTCCCATCTGCAAGATCGAACGGATACTAAAGGTTCACAACACGCAGCGCACGATCCAAAGGTTCGAGGACTGCCGGGATGCCGTGAAGAACCGTGCGCTGGGCACCACACGAAAGAACCCCAGGTGCGCAGCGGACGGGAACGAGCTGTTGCGGTTCCACTGCGCCAGCATCTCGTGCACGCTCGGCGCACGTGGCTCGTCCAGCTTGTGCGGCTCCGTACCGGGCTGCGGAGTGTGCACGATTATCAGGCATGGCTTCCAAGGCAAAGCCGGAGGGGAAGGGGGCAAGGGAGTGCGGACCACTGCCAGCAGCGGTAGGGCCCACGACTCCTTGAGCTGTACGGACGGGCGTAGGGCCATGCTGGTGTGCCGTGTCATTGCTGGCAGGGTTAGGCGCATTGCTGACGATGCGCCGACGGAGGAGGATGCGTTGTCGTCCTTGTCGGCTCCTGGCTCCTACGATTCTGTAGCCGGATTCGCCGGATTATATTCAAATCTCGAGGAGCTGGTGGTTTATAATCCGAGGGCCATCCTCCCATGCTTCGTAGTCATTTACCAGGC